GACTTCTTTATTATTTGCAATAGATGAAATATTGTTAATTTATTTGTGAGTTTTTTTTTTCACAAATTGAATGATTTATAGTTTTAAAGTATTTTATTTCATTTGAGATTGCTCACAACATGTCAAGATTCCAGCAGCAAAACAAATGAACATTTGTCCACATGGAAGTATGTTTCCAAAAGATAGGAGAATCCTATGTCTTCTCTAGTACATGTGTTTTATTTTAATTCCAATTTTCTTTTTTATGTGATTTACTTTTCATTTTTTCTTTTACAAAATTAGAATTAGTTCTTTAATTTTGAAAAAAAAATATATAATATCTTTTTGAATGTGTTTATTCCGCCTATAAAGAGCTTCATCCCATAAAGTCACACTGCTAACCAGTGACGAGTCGGGTGGCCTTAACTGTTCGGAGGTTTAGGGGCAGCCGCTCCGAGAAAAAAAATTAGGACATTTTTTCAACATATCAATATATGAATTTATCGTTTTAGTCGAAAAAAAAAATAACAATTAGTCAATTACCAACTCCCACTTCATTTTTTTTTCACATTAATACCATATTTTTCTCAAAAATAAAAAATAAAAAATTCACATTAATAGTCTATGAATCTATGATGTGCTCCGTGAGTCGTATATATTTTGCCACGTGGACTATAGATACATCCACACAATAAATAAGTTTAGGTACGCTCACATAGCAGTCACAAATAACAACTACCAACTTATTTATGACTCGCGCGTGGGAACCACCACCCCCAACGAGTTCGTGAGAGAGGACAACCAGTTCAGACGAATTTTGCAACTATGAAAACTTTTTTTATTTTTTTTTTTCAACAATTTTTAAAAAAAATTGAGATTGAAATATGAAATATCACCTCGAAATACCTTTCGTCCTTTTAATTTTTGAAAGAAATTCCACTGTCAGTCGTATTTTTCCAATTTTTTTCTTTTTTGTGCAGCGAGTAAATTTAATTCTCGTGCAATAGCTCGTGAATCACGCAAAAATAACTTCAACTGAAAAAAAATTGTGCAACGATTACGAATTAAGCACTTGTATAAATATTTAACACATCCACAATGACAAGACCTAAAAATTCACTTTCAATCCCAGTACCTCTTCTGATCAATCATCGTCTGAACTCGAAGCCTTGTCGCTATTAAATTTTACTTTCTATTCTCTCTTCTTTTTTTTTCTTTTTTCTTTTTTAATTTAATTTGTACGTTACCAAATACTCAAAATTCACATGCATCTATTTGGCTTTGAAAAGCAAATTGATAAGACAAGGGACTTGCTTTTTACGGTTTGAAAATTGCTATTTACGGTTCATAACAAAAAAACACTTTATCTCTCTAAACCTCAAAACTTCTCAAAAAAACCCAAAAACCCCCCAAAACGCTTAATAGCCAACTTGGGCGCCCATTCATGCAGTGCACGCCCAAGTTGGGCATGCAAGCTGCATTTGGGCGCCCTAGTTGGGCTTCCAGTGCAGGCTGTCTCGTATCACTTTAATTGAACGCCCAAGATGGGC